GCCCGCCACAACGCCTGGCCATTTTTTGGTTGCAGCCATCATTGTTGTTTGGCGGGCCTGGGCTGGGGATTCGAACCCGTCACCTTAGGTGTATGTGGCTGGCGCCTTAGCCGCTTGAGCCACAGGCGCCGAGCCCCAACCTCAAATTCTTGAGCTTAAGTGATTCTCTTGCCTTAGCCTCCCAAGTAGCTGGGACTACAGGTGCCCGCCACAGTGCCCTGCTATTTTTTGTTGCAGTTGTCATTGTTGGTTAGCTGGCCTGGGCCGAATTTGAACCCACTAACTTTGATGTATGTGGCTAGCGCTGTAACCACTGTGCTACAGGTGCTGAACCTAAGCTCAAGAGTTTGAAGTTGCTGTGAGCTGTGATGTCACGGCAATCTACAGAAGGTTACATAGAGAAAAAAAAAGCATGTGGATTGTGTGATGTGAAGGAAATAAATAGACTGATGAGGAGCAGGACATCACCCACTTGAGCTGACACAGTCAGTAAAGGCTTCTGCAACCATGCGTTCTATGTGCTGAGACCTGAATGGCCAGAATGAATCCATTCTTTTGAGGAGCCCTGTAAATAGTGGAAATGCAGCATTGTGGTTTTGGGGGCCAGTCCACATGGCCTTACAGGACAGAGAAGGAGGTTTTAAGTCAGGGAATGACATGATTCTATAGGCTTAAAAAATAAAATTCGATGTCACTATAGAAAGAAGGGATGGGAGGAGGTAGAGTGGTGGGTGGAGAGGCTGTTGCTGGAAACCAGGATTTGTGCCAGGGGCTATAGTGGTGGGATTGAGAAGTGTGAAGTGATTGCTTGGCAGATGTCTCACCTAGGGATGTATGACTGTGGGCCCATCTCAGGATCTCTCTGAGCTGTTTGGTAATCTGTACGATAGGGATCTTAGCAGTACTTACCTCATAGGTCTGCTCTGAGGACACAGCATTTAGCAATGGGTGACTCTGAGTAGGGGCTCAATAAATGTTGGTAATTGTTGTTATTTCTGGGGATGGGGGAGTTGTTGGGGTAAAACAGTGGTTTTCAATGGGGAGTGATGTTGCCTGCTTGGGGACATTGGGCAATGTCTGGAAATAGTTTGGGTTACTACCACTGGGAATTAGGAAGGGTGCTACTGGCATCTGGTGGGTGGAGGCCAAGGAGGCTGCTCAGTAGTACCCTACAGTGTACAGGACAGCCCCTCACAACAAAGAATGATACAGCCCAAAATGTGAGCACTTGCAAAGTTAAGAAACCCTGGTGTAGACAGAGGTGTGGTTGAAGATATGTGAGAATGGTGGCCCAGGGAGCAAGCAGAGGAGAGATTCATGTGCTTTAAAAGCACAGGCAGGTGAGCAGAGCAAGGATGGGCTCCTTATACCAGTAATGTCCCCTCATGCTCCCCATTTGTGAAATTACTAGGGAGAAGAACTTCTAGGTCAGTGCTGTTTAGTAGGAATACAATTTGAGTCACAGGGGTAATTTTAAACTTTCTAAGGGCTATGTTAAAAAAGTGTAAAGAGGGCAGCGCCTGTGGCTCAGTGAGTAGGGCGCCAGCCCCATATACTGAGGGTGGCAGGTTCAAGTCCGGCTCCGGCC